GTGCTGAAATTCATGATTTAGAAGTTTTCCAGCTAACGAGACAACTATGCACTCCTTTTGAACGCAGGTCAGACTGAAATGGCTTCCTTTTCACGTGGCCTTTATGGCACCGTTCACATCTGTGAGGATCGAGCTGCATGCGATAGACTTCGATTTCAGGACACACAAGCGACTTTAGCCATTTTCACCCCCATTCGGGCTAATCACCGATGCATAAGGGAGAGAAGAGGGGTCTGAGACAGATCCAGAACCCAGACCTCCAATATAAGCATCCGAACGCGCTATCAGTCGTGGAATTAAAGGCTACCAACCACCAGGGTTAGTTTGTCCTACACAGAAGTGTGACCTTTGTGACACTTTCACTGTGAGATCGGAAGCCCCGCACCCAAGAATACGAGAGCAGGTCGCGTGTGGCATGCGTAGACTGGTTGTTTATACCTGTCCGCCACTGTATCGTGCCCATGTTTTGTTATAGGAGTACGCTTGGCGTGGAGAGGGAGAGAGTGGGATAACGGTACCACAGGTCTGCTCTGCCAGAAACATATTTACGAGTAATTGTCTGCTGTTTCCCACCTCCTGGGGCGGTTTTGGTCCTTTCTGTCCGCGCGGTTATCGCGATATCACATGTAGTGGGAGTCTGAAATCTTATGCGTGAGAGAGAAAAGTAGCTGACTGTTGGTGGAGAGGGTGAGATGCGGTTCCATTTCAGCAGATTTCATCCTTTCCGCTAGTGCAAAATGGCCTCTTATATTTGCTTAAGTATTTCGCTAAAGACATATTCACAAAGTGGGCATCAATAATCACTTGCTCTAGCTCAGCAAAAGTAGGAATACATGTTTGCGCATTATTGACATGGTATTTCACACGTATTGAGTATGCAATAGTAATTGCTACTTCCTTTCTAAAAGCTCATTAATTCTCATCAGGAGTAGCAGCTTCCACGGTGCTAAATGGACATCGGTGAGAGCTGGTGGGGTGGTAGCAAGTCTTCGCATTGGTCGAACCTTGCGTTCCAGGCAGACCAGAGCGTGTTCGAAAAGATCGAGACCCCGGTGTCGCTTGAACTAAGGGAAGCAGATGAATGCCGGATCGTGTGCGAAACGTTTGTGGAGTGTGTAGCAGATTAAACGAGGCATTGCTATCCCCGGCAGTGTCCATCAGAAGGTTCCTGGTCAGAAGAAATACCTATTTTTTTTTTAGTATATTCTGGCTTTTTCGAGCGCAAAGTGCTGAAGTGGGATGAATTGATCATATCGCAGACGATCACGCGATCACTGGGGCAGTACGTCTGAGCTTTCGGTCCCATAAAGGAGGCCAACGTCAGCGACTGTGAGAATGCGGCGTCAAGCGGGCAATTTTTGTAGTCAAGCCATGAAGGGGGAGATAGGGGTACAGGGGGTGGTGTTCGCGATAAGCCGAGTTCACGTCCCCGCACGGCGGCGTGACTGCGTGCAGCCTTGGCTGTGAATTGGGTCTCGCCTCTTGGGCGCTGGAACGGAGCGCGTGTCTGCTGATGGAGTTGGTGTGAGACACCCAGGCCTCCAGCAGTTCTCGCCCTGTCTTATTGCTGGACCGCGCGCTCGCGAAGTTGAATTCGTGGCCTTCCTTCAGGGTGTGAGTGGCGACCTGGGACAACGGTCGCCTCTCCGGACCGCCCGTTTATGCTCCGTTATTCGCGAGCTAAGCCATCGTCCCATCTGTCCTGTGTAATGGCGAGGACAGTCCCGACATGGGATCTGATAAACGACACCTGATTGTTTTCTTACGTCTAGTCGGTCCTTCACTCACATGATTTTGTTGCGCATGGTCACTGTCGAACAGTGAGCGATACCCAAGTCGAGCTCTCAAGCGATACGTTCCGTTGCTTCGGACACATTCTTTATATATGGTAGAGGGTGCCAGAGTGTTGGCGACTCTCCTCCGTTTGTTCGCCATGGGTGCGTGCGGAGGCAGCGGCCGACGAAGCTGTTCGGGTATACATTCCTTGCCAGTTGGTCCCCAAGATGCCGTAGTTCTCGTGCTCGTCCTTCCGGTTCACTGCAATGCGTTTTTGCCCTTTGGAAGGGTGACCTAACACAGCTGCGTTTAGGCGCCGTTGGTTGGTTACCATGATAGTTGAGAATTTGAGTTGTGGTAGTCTCCTTTCTATACACCGTGGTGCTGAGTTTGCCTTCGGGTGTGCGTGTGACGAGAACGTCAAGGAAAGGCAACTGTTCGGCATGCTCTTCTTCCCTTGTGCACTGAATTTCGGGGAAGATGCCGTTAAGCAGGTCTTGAAAGTCTTCCAGTCTGCCCCTTTCAATTATAATGAACTTGTCGTCTACGAGACCGAAAACTCAGACTAATACGCATACTGTCCCAATGATCGCGCGTTCATCTTCTTTGCAACAAGAACCTGGGACTCGCATATTCGCTTCCAATTGATCATATTTTCATTTAGTTCATTTCGATCTCTGTACATGGACTGAACCGTAATTCCCTTAAATGGCGGGCGGCGGTCATCACTGTGATCATCCACTGAGTAGAAACCCTACGCACACAATCTACTGTCGCATTTCCGTGCTTGGAAGCTTAGTTCAGCAGTACCACTACGGAGTATTGGTAGATTCATAGTCGCGTCGTACCGTCCAGCCCTGCTCTTATGTAGTTGGATTAAAATGTTCGGTGCCTAGTGGCTAGCACCATTTCATGTGATTGTACTCCACTGTACGCCTGGTTCACACTGTGAGCGTTTGATGACTAGGTGAGACCCATGATCGCTCCGCCGAATATTTGGTAGCCCATGATCACCACATGGCCGTAGGAAAACCTCTGCCAATTATGGGTGCTCCAAAAGGGGGTGAAAACTAGGCGGCTACTATCCATG